CTGGCATGATTGATTGATTCATAACCCTTTCTGATGATTAATGGTTTGGCCAACATTTAATTATTAGTTAGGAACCCCTTTTATAGGTTTTACCATATTGCTTGTAGGGACGCCTCAAGTATTTTAGTTGTTCCTCAGCTTCTTTTTCCTTAGCTTTGAGGGCTTCCTCTTTGGCTTTGAGGGCTTCCTCAGCTTCTTTTTCCCTAGCTTTGAGGACTTCCTCTTTGGATTTGAGGGCTTCCTCAGCTTGTTGCTTGCTAGATTTGATGACTCTGCAATAGAACAGAGTTTCTATTCGTAATACAAATTTTTGTTTGAATTATTCAAATCATTTATTTATTCGAATTGTATCATTCGTTTATTATTCGAATTGTTATCATTCGTTTATTATTTGAATCTTCAGCATTCATTTATTCAAATTGTTATCATTTGTTTATTTGAATTATTATCGTTCTTTTATTCGAATTATTCGTTTTTATTTTATTTCGAATTTTTCGTTTTATTCGAAAATATTCGGACTATTCGAATTTATTCGTTCATTTCAAACTATTCGAATTTATTTCGAAATATTCGAACTATCCATTTATTCGAACTATTCGTCTATTCGTTTTGTTTGAATTATTCGTTTTATTCGAATCATTCATTTAATCGTTTTATTCGAATTGTTTATTCGTTTTATTTGAATATCGAATTATCCATTATTATTATTATTATTCATTTTATTTGAATAAACTTCCAATTTAATACAAATAAAACAATAATTCGAATAAACCCTAATCAAACAATATTAATATAGCTTTTTAAAGTAATATTGATTTTAATTTAATTTTCCAGATTTGGTGACTCCAATAACTCAAATCACACACTTGCAATATTTATAGGCCGTAAATAATTACGGCATTACGGTTTTATGGTCTCTTTATATTTAGAATATGATGCCGGATTTATTTATGTAATGATACACAAGTTATAAAAAATTTTAAATATATATTAATATATTAATGTTAATAAACATTCAACAAATTGCTAATTTAAAATCAATATTAATACTTGTGTGGACACATATTTGTGGCTTTTAAAAAATATTTTTTTTACAAATATACAAAAACCACAATGGAAACCATTTTGGATGAAAATAAACATCATGAAGATACTTCTACTGACAAAAATGATGAATATTCAGAGGAAAGAAAAGAAAAATATGGTAAATGCCCAACATGCAATAGATATAATACTAGTTGGGCATGG